AGAGAGAGAGAGAGAGAGAGAGAGAGAGAGAGAGAGAGAGAGAACACAACCCTGGATAATAAAAGAACTAGTAGAGGAATCACTATCCCTGATTTTATGTTTATAGCTCCAGAGCTGTAGTAACAATACAGAGAAAAACAATAATGTAGCAGAGACATGGTTCTTTCACAATTCTACTTTCTATTCTAAGAGCATGTGATAATCACAACAGTGACAATAACCACAATGATGGTATAGAACACCTAATTAGTATTTACTTATAATAGGTCCACCTTGGGGCTTTTGACGACATTGTTTGCTCTCACCATAACCTGTGAACTTGGTGACTGTCATCACCGTTTTATACATAAAGAAACAATAACACAGATCGCTTAAGTATCATGTCCAGGATCATTGCTAGAGACCCTAGAAGTTGGTTTGGGTGAAATTAACAAGAGAATTTGGTCTTTACTCAGGTTTTATACCCTCACAGCACTACTTCTTTGTTTTCATTTCATTTCTTTGATTTAGATTTTAGGTTGGCTCCAGATAATTTGAATTGATTCATATAAAGGGAAGATAAGATATTTTCCTCATTTAATTCTTGATTCATATTTAAGAGCATGCAAGCCCAGCATTCAGAAGTCCCTTTCCAACCTCCAGGGGCTTTATAGAGATCACTTACCTTTTTTCCTGGTTCTGTACTAGGGATTGACCCTAGGCCTCATATTACTAGACAGATACTTTACTGATAGCTGCATGCCAAGTGCCAGAGATAACTTAAACTGTCTATGAAAGTGTGCATACTATGAAACCTGATGACTGAGAGTTCCCATATCCAGTGTGTGGACTCTAGAAAGAATGGCAATTTTCTTGGCTAGTCATGATGTCTTTATGTAACTGTTCTTCCAGCTTGGAACTGATCTGAGAAAAGGGATTAGCCATAGAACCCTGCCATGGAGGCAAAGTAACTAATGTACACTCCAAAATATGTCTCTCCTTTGAGTTTGCCACTTTTATATCAAATTTCTAGCTTAACACTTTCAGAAAATCACTGTTAATGTGTAAATGAAGATAGAATACCAGGAATGCAGGGGCATTTTATGCCCTTGTGCTCACTGATACGATGCAATTACTGGAAATAGCAGAGACCACTGTCCCAAGGAAATCCATACATGGCCAGTAAAGTGAATGGAGAAACCACATCACCAAGTTTATCCATGGCTGTGAGAAACAGGACACTGAACAGTAGGAATGAGAGTGGTGGAAGTAATGTAGCTGCCACAGTAAAGGGCAAGAGTGCAGGATATTTAGAGGAGATATCTTAAAGGAGACTGGTCCTGAAAAAGGAAATAGGGGTGGCATAGGGGATAGAGATCTCTTTATTTGATCAGGGACATTCTCACTTTTCTAGCTATCCTGATAGAAATGGCATCAACTTACATCTAGAGGCAGCATATCACAGCTGAAAGAGCAGGACTTACAGGGTCAAACAAACAAGGATTCAAATCTAATTCTATCAGTATGGGCTTGTCTCAGTTATCCCTCCTTCACATATGTAGTATGTTCATATAACCTGTGCACACCCTCTTGTACCCTATCTATGTCATATGATATATAGTGCGATGTAAATAGCTGTCACCTGCACTCCTTAGGAGATAACAAGGAATAAGTCCACGTGAGTTCAGTAAAGATATGATTTTCCTCTGGAAATTTTTAAATCACCGTTGATTAAAACTATGAATGCAGTATGTGGGTGAGAAGAATTGACTGCATATGAGTTTACTTTGAAGGAAAATGAAGATAACTCTAGCATGTTAGGAATGCACTGATGTTCCTTTCATATTATGTTAGGGTGAAAATTTAACATTTGTCAGATGACTAAAAGGGAACTAGAAAACAATTTGTGTGTGTGATGTTAACCTATTCCTCATATTAAGCTAATAGGTGAGGATTTTCAACTCCATTTCTCATAAAACAAAGCAAATGTAGAGTGGTTGACTCATTTGCCCATTGTTACATAGATGATTGAGCTCCCTGACACAAAAACCTGTATTCTATCATAATGTCTGGAACTTGGGAACAGCCATAATTAATAACTATCTACTGCTGCAAACTGCACCTTTGTTTCTTTTTTGCTATTATTCTTCTCTCTGCTGCCAATGGAGAACACTGAACTGTCTGTGGTAGCTAATACTTCAATTTTACATTCCCTTAAAATCCTCATCACTAACTTTTCCCCTGCAACCATCTTCATGTGAGCTCAGCTGGAGGAACTCTATATCCCCCTAGTGAGAGCCAAAACTTTGCCTGTCCTTATGGGCCATCTCATGTAGGAGTTCTTTTTTTTTTTTTTTTTTTTGTTATTTGGTTTTTCGAGACAGGGTTTCTCTGTGTAGCTTTGGAACCTATCCTGGCACTTGCTCTGGAGACCAGGCTGACCTTGCACTCACAGAGATCCCCCTGCCTCTGCCTCCAGAGTGCTGGGATAAAAGGCGTGCACCACCAACGCCCGGCCTCAAGTAGGATTTCTTATACTTATATAGACTATATAACCCCATGAATCATGAAAGTACCGGGTAGTGAACAAAACAAGTTCCTGTAGAAGAAGCAGAGGAGAGAAAGCTTCCTAGACAGATAGATACTTTCCAGTAGAAATAACCTTAGCAGTGGAAGTCAGTTTACAGTTCTAGTAATATTACTACAGCAGCAATCTAATGCTACTTGCCAGCTGTGTGGTCTATGTGGGTTATCTTGGAACCCAAATCACCATTTGAAGTCTGTTTCTATAGGAAAATGCTTTCCAACAGACAAGGTAAAAGGATCATAAACGAATCCAATATTCATCACAGAAATTCATATACAGTGTGTACTAAAAAATGTGTATTGAAGCAGGGCGTTGGTGGCACACGCATTTTATCCCAGCACTCAGGAGGCAGAGACAGGCGGATCTCTGTGAGTTCGAGGCCAGCCTGGTCTCCAGGGCGAATGCCAGGATAGGCTCCAAAGCTACACAGAGAAACCCTGTCTCGAAAAACCAAAATAAATAAATAAATAAATAAAATGTGTATTGATTGATCTTTAGTTGAATTGTCACTCATCACAAAGGCAAGCATAACACTGAGCTGTCTAGGGTTTTCACTTCAAACTTTAAATTAGAATTGTATGGCAAAGGTAAATGTGACCTTCAGAGTGTGAATTAAATGTCATTCCATTTTTAGTCAGTATGATTGTACAAATAACTAAAGAAGGATATTTATAATTTTCAGGAGCTTATAGTTTACAGAAAAGTAGAATGTCCCTCATTCTAGGAAATACTGCTAAGTGGTCTAGTATCCCAGAATTCTGATTGTTGGTATAGTCTTTCCAAGAATGGTTTAGGTGAACTAGCTACTTGCCTGTCAGATGGATGAGTACTTTGCCTGGGAAAATGACTCCTTGGGTATATGCTTTGGATACAGAAAAAAAAAAAACTGCTTATTTCAGAAAAGAAATTATTTTGCTCTTTCAGATGTAACTGTGTGGAGCCACATAGTCCCAGCAATGACACACTGAAGGAATGGAGGGAGTCCAATATTTCTGCCTCTGACATAATTTGGGGGAACCTAAGCGTGTCAGTAAGTAAAACATGGCACAACAAGTTATATCTTGAGTCATTTACTATAAGACTTTTATTGACATTTTTAATCAGTATTGCAACTAAGGTAAGAATTTTGGAAACACAAATTTATACAAGTGATAGCTTTGTGTTAAAGTTTCTCCATTTCAGTTATCCATCCACATGGGGTTTTCATTCCTCACAAAAAAAATGATTCTTCTCATAGCTCCGAGTTGCTCTGAAGGTTCACACAAACAGAAGAATATGACTGAAGTCAATTGAAAACATTGAATTCTAGCACTAGTGACCATCATGGCGGGGCAGGTTCTCCCTTGCACATGAAAGACCAAAGCTATTCTATTCCACTTACTCCGAATGCTTCTCCCACTGTTCAGAACAGGGTTGGGGGAGAGGGTGGGCCTGACATTTTACTGTAAATACTATTCTTTGATGAATGTGACAGTTAAAAAAACTCTCATGTTTCTCAACAGATTTCCAACTTCCATTTTTATTCCTTAGTCTACAAAAAAAGGGAGGGGACTAGCTACACATTTTTGCCCATAAGGGTTAAATTCTGTACCTTTGCTTTATTTTCGTAGGCCCTTCTTTGTAAGTTTTTCTCTCACAGGAATATTTCTCTGTTCTTACTCTGTATCGTGTGTGTGTGTGTGTGTGTGTGTGTGTGTGTGTGTGTGTGTGTGTGTGTTTCTTAGAATATGTATTCATGAGCTTCACTTATTTCTGTTCAGTGAAAGCATAAGATTTGGGTAAAAAGAAATAAAATAAACAAGTGTTCTGCTTTATAATAAAAGCAGAAGTTCCTGAATAGCCACTTTTCTATTCCTTCCAGTTATATGCATTATTATTAAAATCTTTTGCCACTTTGCCTGCCTTTATGTTCACAAATTTCTTTATAGTCATCAGCACAAAGCTAAACAAATTATACCTCATTTGATCAAACACTACTATTTTAGTAAGTGAATCAGTTAATGGAACATGGAAATATTTTTGTTGTATAAATATTATAAGCCTCTAAATATTTTTATTTAAGAAAGATATGACCTATTATCTGTTTCTGTTATATATGTTCCTTCAGAATTAAAATCAAATGACTTACTCTTGGTTTACAGTTCAATCCTGGCCTATATTTTTTGACCTTTATTTTCTCCTGCCCTCCCCCACCATGTAGGAGACATACAATTAGCATAAAGCAGAAATTAAATGTTGAATTTTTTTTTTTTTTTTTTTGGTTTTTCAAAACAGGGTTTCTCTGTGTAGCATTGAAGCCTGTCCTGGTACTCGCTCTGGAGACCAGGCTGGCCTCGAACTCACAGAGATCCGCCTGCCTCTGCCTCCCGAGTACTGGGATTAAAGGCGTGCACCACCAACGCCCAGGCACAAATGTTGAATTTTTCATGTTACAGATTTTACTTTATAAAATCTGGTCATCCTGAAAAGAACAGTCTCTTGTCATTTTCTTTAGAACAAGCCTTTGCTAGCTCTTGTCTCCTTTTGTGGTTAACATTTATTCTTTCCTACCTACATTTCCCTACAAAAGTAATGCAACCAGGTTTTTTGCACCCAGAAAACCTTTCAAATTATCAGTAAAGTAACCAATGATGTGAACAAGAAAGAACAATGTAGTTTATTAAAAACTTAGATCTGGGGTCATGGTGGATGTGTTTTGTAGTGAGTATTCTTTCTAGATTGCCTGTTTATCAATTGTATCTAAAAAAATAAAAAAGCCTCTGTTTGTGTCACTTATCTCTTATTTCCTCTTCCGTACAAATTCAGAGTAATCCATTCTGAATTATTTAGAAAAATAATTCAAGTTTTTTATATTTTCTGAGTCACTTAGTGCTAATAGTAAAATTTACTCTATATATCAGCTAATCCTAATAGCCTTCTAAAGACAGACTTGTTACACTATGGATATAGTTAGTAATAAGTGAATTATTTTCAATTTTTTACATAATATTTTGAATAAATGTATTTTGATAGTGTTTTCCCCTTCCCACTTCCCCCTAGATTGTTCCCGCCCCCTGCGCACCCAACTTTTGAAAATAAAACTTTGAGCTCAACTAGAGGATTGTGAAAAATATTTTGGAGGCAAAGAAAATTTAACATTTGGTGGCTTGTTTTCATGTTTAAAGTTCTCTACTACAGGTTACTGTTCTAGAAGATTTCATATCATTTTTCATGAGTCAGTAGCAGAGTTTGTAATAGATACTTTCTATTCTTGACCAGAAACATTCTTAATCACAAGAATGAATGTTACACAAAGAAAAAGCCCTATGATTCTTAAGTCAATAAAAATTAATTAATTTATCTTATACTGTTTTTTCCTCAGCATGACCATAATTATTACCTAATGTATATCTTTAAAAAGCACTATATTAATGATTATTATAACTAGATTTGTAAAAAATACTGATGTAACAATTAATTTACTTATTGTATATTTGGCATATATTATATTATTTTACTTTATCATAATATATCTCATGATTACTAATTTATTCCTTGCTAACTCAGAAAAGGCAAAGAATCAGAATCAAAGGTTCAAATATTTGATAAATACAGAATGATTATGTTGAACTACTGTTGTGGAATATTACTTTAACTATGTAAAGATTTGTTACACTTGTTTATGTTGAGGAATATTACTTTAACTATGTAAAGACGTGTTACGTTTGTTTATGCTGCATTTATTTAATTATGTAAAAATGTGTTGCTGTTTTACCTTGTCCACCTACGTCACCTGATTGGTCTAATAAAAAAGTAGAACAACCAATAGCTAGTGAGAGGAGGGATAGAAGGAGCTGGCGGGCAGAAAGAGTAAGAAGGAGGAATCAAGGCTCAAGAGAAGAGAACTGGAAAGAGAAGAGAACAGGGGAGAAAGACAGGAGACACCCAGAGCCAGACAGGCAGCCAGACACAGAGTAGGACATACAGAATGAAAGAAAGGTAAAAAGCCCTAAGGTAAAACACAGATGGAGAGAAACAGGTTGATTTAAGTTATAAGAGTTAGTGGGACAAGCATAAGATGAGGCCGAGCACCTAAAAGATCCCGAGGTCTAAAAGAAAGACTGCTACAAACTACTTCCATCTCACATGTCTACTATTTAATTCAACTTTTATGGCAAGCCAGTATTTTTAGATTACTGTCTCTATACACATACATAAGTACTGTCAGCACTAGCTCAGAGTCAACCATTCTAAAGAGTATTTAGGCACAGTTTAAAATATTTCATATATGGACATAGTAGCAATTAATGAATTTTAAGAGAACAAGGAGGAGTATAGGGGAAGGTTTGAGGGAGGAAAGGGGAGGGGGAAGTGTAATTATATTGTAATCTCAAATTTAAAAGCAAAAAGAAAGAGCATTTGCAAGCGATTATCAGTTTATTGAAAATTGTTTCAATGCTTTTTAATGCACATATGTGGAAATACACTCATAACTCCAATTGTTATTTCATAAAACTTATTTTTGCCAACTTACAGAATTGTTTAAATGAAATGTGTTCATAGAGTAATTAATTAGTAGAAATATGTTTGCTACCAAGTAAGTATCTTTTGAGTTTAACCACGTTAGACTAAAGTGAAAGAAAGGTTTTGAAATTTTTTTCATTTCTAAATTTCAGGACCCATTTCTCCCCCTGTCCCACTGTTTTTTATCCCACCCTCTCCTGTGTGAGAGACACACAACATAAAACTGAAAATAAATGCTGAATTTTGTAGGTCACAAAATTTACTTTTCAAAATTAAGACCCTGTTCCCTGGAAAACAAGAAAAACTAATACTTTACAATCTTCTTTGAGTTGAAATTAACTAGGCTTAGCATTGGCGGTTTGCTATGGATAAGGCAGCTGAATGATCTTTTACTAGTATCTTTCTTCTTAGGAGTAGAGGCTATGAGGCAGCTGTGTCCAGGGAATATGTAGAAGCCTTTCACACCTGCATCAAAGATTGCAGGTGTTCACAGATCAGTATGCACCTGTTTGGGACCCTCGCCTCCTCTACTTCAACATCCTGGGATTATTGCACTGCTTAGTAATTGTTCCAAATTTTCTGAATAGGCTCACAAAAAAAGATTGAAAAATTAAAGAATTCGGTTATTGTTTTTGTTTTTTAATTTATTCTGATTTAGATAATGAAAATCAAGGTTATAAATAGTGCCTAGAGGCTAGTAGTTTTTCAATAGCCATTTTCTGTACCTTGAATCAGCTTAACATGAATTTAACTAATAAGAAAGATACTGCCAAGTCTGTTAGGTGCTTATAAACTATGCAGACAGTATTTCTCCAGAGTCTTTAGATGGGGCACCTATGTCAGCTAGAATTTATTGGCTGATTACTGGTTTCAGAGGATGATGTAGCTCCTTGTTCATCCTAAAACATTCTAGAGGCGTCTATGTTATGATATAGAAGGCTCAGCTCCTTGAGGTTTAATTCAGTGAAAATACTGTGTCCTCCAAATTTTCTTCCTGCTATTGCACAATTCAAGTTTTGTTCAGAATACCTAGATGACTAAAGAATTCAGTGGATTCTTTAAGCTTTTATTTTTTATTTATTTTGGAACAGAGCAATACAATTTTTAGAATACAAAAGTTTTCCAAGATGACAGAAATAGTTTTTTCCCTTTCAAAATATTTAATGCTTATATAAAATGTTTTTTTGTCTTGAAGTTCTTTTTGACTTTGCTGCCACCTAATGGCTAAGGCAGTAATTTGAAAATGTGTTTTCCTTTTCTTTTCTTTTTTTTTTTTTTTGAAAGAAAAACAGAAGAAAAGGGATATATGTGGAAAGCAGAATAATAGACATAAACTTTGCCTTACTTATGTAGTAGTTTTTTCTTCATTTGGTCTTTGAATTTCAATGGTTACCATAGGTCAATTTCTTTAGTTACATATCTTCATTTTCTTGTTGCCGTTCTTGTCTTCCTTGGTAGCTTTAAACAAGTTTTCCTAAATAATTATTGGTTTGGTTTTTTTCTTTTCTTTTGTTTTGGTTTTGGTTTTTTGAGACAGGGTTTCTCTGTGGCTTTGGAAGCTGTCCTGGAACTAGCTCTTGTAGACCAGGCTGGTCTCGAACTCACAGAGATCACCTGCCTCTGCCTCCTGAGTGCTGGGACTAAAGGCGTGCGCCACCACTGCCCAGCAATTATTGGTTTTTAATATGCTACAATTCCTACCGCAGAAGTGATGCATGTGCCCAACCCTACCACACAGCATCAATGAGACTGAAGTACATTGCTCATTCTCTCCATGCCTTGGCTGTCTTAGATATCAAACATAAATGAAAACATCTATCTTGTGCTGTTGGTGTGAAAAATAGTGAAACTGATACATTTAAATGCTTTGTCATGTATCTGATGTTAATATAAACTGACTTATCAAACTTACCACATTTGAAGTACACCTGATACCTTGAACTTAATAGAGGTTTGGTTTAATACCTATGCAAGTAGAATTTTGAAAGCAAATATCATATCTGCTAAATCCTTGTGGGAGCCATTGGTGAACAGTCTTGATATGTCAGCTGCAACTGACTAGGTGTTGTTTTCTGGAAGAAAAACACTGAACTTTCTTAACCGACTCTATTTCTCTTCCTGAGCAGGAGTGCAGATCACTGCATGGGGAGTATGTTGGGCGAGCCTGTGGCCATAGCCACCCTTACGTGCCAGATGTTCTCTTTTGGTCGGTGATCCTGTTCTTCTCCACAGTTACCATGTCGGCCACCCTGAAGCAGTTCAAGACCAGCCGATATTTCCCAACCAAGGTACTTGGACTCTAATATTTCTGACCCAAATATAAGCTAAAGCTCAGTTGTTGTGAGATCCCACATGCTTAAGGACAGGATAGTTACTGACCAGTGAGTGAAGCAAACCATGGGGAGGTTTTGTCATGAGGAACTGGCAAGTTAGAGGTAGGCTGTAGAAAGGGGCTGAAGGAAGCACTTTCATGACTCAGGTATCTGAGGTGGCACAGCCCTTCAGGTTTTACTTCTGAGTGTCAACACTTCCCTTCCCACTTACAGTTTTGGAAAGTGTAATCACACACCATATTACTGATTGTCACTTCCCCAGGAGGCAAAGGAGCCTATTCCAGCCCAACAAATATCTCAGAGGAGCAGCTATTACATTTCCTAATCACTGGTTCTCAGACTTCCTAATCCTGTGACCCTTTAATGCAGTTCCTCATGTTCTGATACCCCCAACCATAAAATTACTTTAGTTGCTACTTCATAACTGTAATTTTCTACTGTTATAAATTATAACTTAAATATCTGTATTTTCCAACGGCCTTAGGCAAACCCTGTGCAAAGGGTCATTTGTTGTGCAAATGGGGTCCCCACCCACAGAACCACTGCCTGTATGGAGAAGCCCTACAATGCTCATTAGAACATTATTTCTCTCTTGTTTCAAAAGCTTCAATCCTTTCCTCTATCCGCCCCCCATGCTTGTATCTGCATATTTGGGAGGTAAACAGAGAATCGGTTGAGTTCAACATTTAACACTGCAAAATAACATCTATGATGTCTGATTCCACCACAAAAGGGGACAGAAGATGAGACAGAAAATAAAGCCAAGGAAAAAAGCACTTACAGGTTGAGGTACACATCTCAAAAACATTCCACCTTGGCACGTGTGTCAAGAAGAGTCCCTTGTTAGAGAGCTGCTTTTTCTATCACCTTCTTTTTTGCTAAAATGACAGAGTCATTCCTTCCACCCCAGATTAATACTGAAATTGTCTCTGTATGTTGGAACCTTAATCCTGAATATTTTGTGTGTATGTTGCAAAAGCATACTAATAGAAAGCAAATATTGTTGATAATTGCTTAAGGGTAATTACTCAAGCATGTCCTTTTAGGACCGGAGAGGTGGTTCAGTCAGTGCAGTACTTGCCTTATAAGTATGAATGAGATCCTGAATCCAGAACCCCAGAACTCATGTGAAAAAAAAATGGGTGTATTGGTACACATCTGTAATCCCAGAGATGTGAGAATAGTGGATCCTACACGTGTCTGTGGCCTGCTTGGTGAAGTTCTATGTCACTAAGAAACTGTCTGAGGGCCAGTATCTAAGGAGGTTCTTTTCTGACTTGCTCGTGTGTGCCATGTACTGTGTGCCCTACACAATGGCTTTCTACATTGAGAAATGGCTTGAAACCTGGTTTGTATAGAATTCATTTTAAATAAAAGAAAATTTAAAACTTGCCCATATTGTTTTTGTATATTACTAATTGTCGTGCCTTAAGTAAAGTAATTAAAACAGGTAATTTTATTTAATGGTCCTTTAGATTCCTAATATTAAAATGTAACTTCTATGGAAGAGTCCTAAAATTCATTAGATTCAGGCCAGATGACCTAAATCTGTGTTCTGAATTTTCACATACTTGGGATTGAAATAAAGGTTTTAAGTAAATATTGAAAAGAAAATTACCATTTTCTGGTATATTCTTTAATTTATTTCTTTAAAGACTCAAAGTTCTTACTCTACAGGTCTTTCTCATTTTTGGTTAGTGTTACCCCAAGATATTTTATGTTGTTAGTTGCTACTGTAAAGGGTAATGTTACTCTGACTTCTTTCTCAGTGCATTTATCATCTGTATATAGTATATGTATTCTAGCATAGCTAGTGATAATACTTTATAATGTGCATACAATATAACATCACAGAATTATGTCACTGTTTGTGAAGTATGATTTGAGACTGCTTCTAAATATTCATTGTTACTTATAGCTCCCTCAAGTAACAACATTTTCATTATTTTTAGGTTCGATCCATAGTGAGTGATTTTGCAGTTTTTCTTACAATTCTGTGTATGGTTTTAATTGACTATGCCATTGGGATTCCATCGCCAAAACTACAAGTACCAAGTGTTTTCAAGGTGAACATAACTATTTTCTATCTCTCTGTGTCTACATCTTCATGTAGATGATATCTGTGACTCCAGTACATGAGATTTTCTTGAGGGCATGAACAATATACATTAATAGAATAAGAAGTAAATAATGCACAGCATGAATAAAATTGTGGTCTAATATTAAAAAAGAATCATAGAAATAAAACCTGAAGTCTGCTTCAACATTTTCCTGTTGGCCATTACAGTTGGAGTATATGTGTACATTACAACATGCCTAATCCCAAAGAATCATTCTGAAACCAAGGAACATGCATCATTGTGAGGCAAAACTGTAGAGTGAATGAGGTTTGAAAACCAGATAAAACAGGCTTTGGATAAGACTGCCAACCATATTACAAAGGGAGGACATGACCTTAAAGCCAGGAACTTACTGTCTCAGCCTGTTTTCTCATCTGTCAAACAGAGCTAGGGACTTAATCATAGGATTTTTGCTGTCAGAATGAATCCCTCTGGGACACAGTTCCAGCACCAGACATATTTTTAACCTTTTTCTGAGCTTCTGATGTGACTGAGTTTCTGGTTTGTATTTTTTTTAATTTTCATATAGTAGCCTGCATACATAACTAAAAGAAGTTACTATATTAAAACATTCTGTTTATGTATCTCCTTCTGATTCTAAACTAAAAGAATGTTCTGTCTTATTTATTTATTATCTTGTTTCTAAGATCGTATTCAATGTGTAATTTTAAATATAGAAAACAGTAAATTTGCCACCAGTAAATGATGTGTTATTTATTTAATACAGGTATTGATTGAGAATATGATTTTTAATTAGCCTGCTAGAGTTCAAATTCAATCTCAATTAATTACTAGCCCTGGAACCTTAGACCATTTACTATAGCATTCTATGCCTCAATTTCATCTTTACAGTGTAGAGGAGAGAAAACGAATTAAAAGACAGCATAGTTAGAATGGTGTCCTTAATGATGTAAATGCTCCATGAGTTCATTATTATTGAATGCTCAGACTACCATTTTGTAATTAAGAATTTTCTGTTTATATTCATATGACTTAGTTTGATTAGGTATATATCAATCTAGGTAGTAATGTGTATGATTAACTTTATTCTCAGCCTACAAGAGACGACCGTGGCTGGTTTGTGACACCGTTAGGTCCAAACCCGTGGTGGACAATTATAGCTGCTATTATCCCAGCTTTGCTTTGTACAATTCTAATTTTCATGGACCAACAGATTACAGCTGTCATCATCAACAGAAAAGAGCATAAGCTAAAGGTGTGTTTCAACAATGATTACAATATAAATAATTCTCATTTAGTTGATAGGAATTGGTGGTCACAGATTTTGGCTGTATTGAGTATTCATTTGTTCAGTATAAAATACTGTTTTCAGGTTTGTAGTTTGTATTGTTTTCCAGGACACTTTGTCTTACAGTGGTATGAAAATTTGCTTGCAACAATTGACTAGCCTCTAGAGCCTGAAACCTTTCTTTTAGGGGGGAAAACCAGTTCTTACTTTAGCATGCTTGATACTGATTTAATGAAATATTCAATTCTGGTGAAGTATGATTTTACCTACCAGCTTACTTATGTCTAAGATTCTTCTTTCCTTTATTTGACACCAAGTATGCTCATTATTATAAGAGATCATGTCTTCAGGTGTCTTTCACTGAATTATATCATTTAAAAAATTTCTAATGCCTAAAACAAAGGAAGACCATGGCCATAAGTATGATACATTGTAAGTGACATCTTTGAGCATTATTGCAGATTGATAATAACTTTTCTAAACAACTAGATTTTATTTAATGTATTCTGACATACTGTTTTGTAACTGTAATTAAACATTTTCACTATCATTCAATCTGTATGCAATATAAGTATTATTGGGTATGTAGATGTTAAATCAATAAAACATTGGATGGTTAAATATAATCAGAATTAATAAAGGAATGGTACAGAAGATGGTAAAAGCCAGAGGAACAGGAAGTCTGCTGTGAAATAGGGAATCTACCTGTGAAACCTCAGCAAGGATAACACCAATAGACATGTTGAGATGAAGGGGGTGGATCTCACCAGATCCCACTATTAGACAAAGAACTACAGACAACTAATGACTGCTAAGAGAGGGAGAATTAGTCTCTCCCAGGGATGTGCCCCCTAATTGGTTATCCAGTACCAATTGATCAGCAGGTTATATTTACATATTTATGCATTTGAGTGTGTGTGTGTGTGTGTGTGTGTGTGTGTGTGTGTGTGTGTGTGTTATGTATGTAACAACAATAAAAAGAGGCTAGTCTGAGGAGGAGGTTGGGGACATAGCAGATGTTGAAAGAAGGGTACATGGGAGGGTTTGGGAGCAGGAAAGGATGGGTGGGATTAAGTAACTATAATTAAATTTTTTTTAAAAATCAAACCTTGTAAAACAGGACATGTACAGTCTTATTCTGTTCAGAAATCTGAAGAAATTGCCTGCTGCTTTTTCGTATCTTTTAAACTAAAAATTATTGCTGAAGTAACAGATATTGTGCTATGTAAAATTTTATAAATATATTATGATAATTAAAATATCTGTGTAAACTATTTCATTGATATAACAATAAGCATAGTTATAAGAATGCACAATTACTATTAATAAATTATAAGGAGTTTGGGGTACATATTAGGAAGAATGAGCATTCCTCATTCTCTTGAAGAAAATAATTTAAGATGAAACCTCTTTTAAAAATAATTAATTCAATTTGCTTGTGTATCTTGTTAAATAAAATGTTTAATTATTGAAGGTCTATATTTTAAATCTTTGTGAACTCTTAGGGATACTGGCTATTGTGGCTGACACTTGAAATCCTAGCATTTGGGAGACTAAGTTAGAAGGATCTACATTAGTTCAAGGCCACCCTGACTACATAATGAAATTCTCTCAACTACAAATGAAAAAAAAAGAAATAAATTCTTAAGAACTAGCCCATTGATGTGTTGACCTAACCAGTTCCCTATGTGGAAGGAGAGACCCTGACTTACAATGTTGATAATTTTCATGGTGCAAATGTCCCTGCTATGCTACCAATTGATCTCAACTAAAGAAAATTTTTATTTATTTTTATTCATATATTTATCTTAACCAGTGTAGAGAAAAATTTAATCAAATTCATATTCCTCCATGATTTAAAAAAAAAACCAAAAAACTCCGGCTCAGAGTAATCAATCACTAAGAATAATAAAAGCAATATATGACAAGTCCACAACCAACATCATACCAAACTAAGAAGAACTGAATGTGTTTTGTCCAAGACCAGGACATGGCAGCCTTCTCTGATCACTCCTGTTCTCCACAGCACTAAAAGTCTGGGGCCCAGCAATATGACAAGAGAAAGAAATAAAAGCATACACATAGAAAAGGAGGAAGCAATTTATCTCCTGTACATGAAAATCATTGATTAATTAGTTTTTGTAAGTGATCAAATTGGCTGCAAAACATTACTAATCTAGGCCATTTGATATTAGAAATTTTGAATAACAAAATTATTTCTAAAAATAAGGAATTCACATCATAAGTTTAATAGCCTCGTTAAATTCAATATGTTTAATTTAACTTAGTATTATTTAAAAGTTTAAAATTTAATCAAAAAACAAATATCACCACAACTTTATTAGTAATATGGCACAACTCATCACAGCTAAGCACAGCTATGTGAAGTGAGTGTGACACTGATGCTACAAAGTATATTAACCTGTACTCCCTAAAGTCTGGGACTCACTTAATACTACATGATGCTACAAAGTGTATTAACCTGTACTCCCTAAAATCTAGGAATCACTTAATACTACACATTCTGAGTGTTTTTTTTAGTAAAAACATTTTCTCTTTTTATGTTTGACTTAAAAACCAGAGAATATGAAGAGTTAAAGGAAAAAAGTAAAAATTCTATATTTCATAATTCTATAATCTGACATGGCATTGCTTATGCTTTTAATAAAAACTTAGGTAGCTTTTCTTTGGTTGCATACACACAACTCCAGGTCCATGCAACATGCCCAGCTCAAAGCAAGCATTTTGCACAGAACATTTACTGCTTGCTTTTCCACACAAGAACAATGTCTTAAAGATCATGTCAACCACATAAATTAAATTGTCATTTTAATTAACTGTATATGTTATTACATTCATGTTTTAAATTGAACTAAATAGCTGATATTTAAGGAAAAAAGTAAGATATAAAGCCATCATTTGGCTTTCAACAGAGTAGTTTAGCCTTTGTAACAACAGGCAGAAATGCCACCTTGCTGAAGCCTGGCCGTCTATCCTGAGTGTGGGATAAAATGCTCTAGGTTGAGCTATTCCAAACCACTAGTGGAATCCTAATTTAAAGACTTGACATAGATGAAGATTTACTGAGGTTGGTGTCATCTTCTCAGCTGTCATATACCCTTCTCCTTCCAGGCTACTCAGTCTTGTGGATCACAGGTCCTTGTTCTTTCCCTATGTTCTTCATACAAATAGATTATAAGTCTTTCACATTTACCACTCTTGCAAAGTTCCAAATAGATGCATCAGTTTTCTCCTTTGCATTGAGGACAGTATTGCTAGCATACAGTGAAACTTCCTTTAAGGGGTATTTTAAAGTACTAGAATGCATAGAATGGAATGAAGAACTAAATCTTTTAATATTTGTCCCTGATATAAGCCCAAGGCTATGTTACATTATCTCTTTTGTTGCACAAATAAATCAGTATAGATTTAACTTTTTTTTTTTTTTTGGTTTTTTGAGACAGGGTTTCTCTGTTTAGCTTTGGAGCCTATCCTGGCACTTGCTCTGTAGATCAGGCTGGCCTCAAACTCACAGAGTAGATTTAACTTTTAAAATTTAAATTTTAAGTCAGCATGGATTTAGTGAACAGAAGACTGGATCCATCACATTGTGCTGTACTCCACCAGTCTGTCAGTCTGTCCTTGACCACTGCAGTCTGAATACTCTGCACTCATGTTGGATGTGGATATTTTCAAAGCAGGTTCCCTCCAGTCTAGCCATAATTTAACAACAATAAACGCTTATTTTCTGCATATATCATTTCTCTCCTATAAGTTCCACTAATATAATCTACTGTTCTTGGTTTTCCTCCTGACAATGAAAATATAACCTTCTTAGAACACTGCTTACTAAGAGTAAGAGTTTATTCCATGACTATTCAACCTGCCTGTTGCTACACTAAAATTTTTTCAAAGTTTCCTGGCTTTGGCTTGAGCTTCATGTTCATGAAAAGATGTTTTCTGAATGCAACCCCAAATCACAAGCTAACTACACTTCCAGATTTTACTAGTTTTTAAGTTGACAGCTTATTGTTGCTTTGGTTGCAACATTGTCTGGAATTGTTCCGTGAATCATATTTTTTCATTTATGTGTCAAGCACTTTGTGGTCTTCACAATGTGTATCTGAGTGCACAATCATCTCTTTAGGTCACCTCAGAATCATGTCATTTTCTGTCTCTTCCAAATGTATTATAGACCTTTTTGATTTTTCCTCACATCATTGGCAGAACTACTCATTTTCTTTTCCATGATATTTTTTATGACAACAAGAAAATGTTTTTACAATAATCTTTGGTAGTAAATACACAATAAAGTGTTGAGCTATAGAGGCTAAAACCCAGCTCATTGGATAAGTTACTATACCTGAGAGTGAGGGAGCATAAAATTAATAAACCTCGGAATCAGCCCACTGGCTTCTGTGTCATGCAAGCATGACAGCAGCCACAAATATCAAAACATGACCAGGAAAATTATCATGTATTACATAGATGCAAATTAAGTCTGTATTCTAGCATTGTTTTCTTTTAGAGTTGAGGGGCATGGGTAAACTGAGTCCTTTTTAAAGGCATTAAAAACAAAAGCCTGGTTTTGTTTAGAGCATGCTCCGTAAACGTGAAAATAAAGAGAGACATTATTTTGCAGAAAAGAAAGTTTCTGTTAAGATACAGCTCTGGGATTTTCTACATGTTTCTGTAGACAGTTCAGGCTTCTTTTGACATCATTTTTAATAAACAGCAATACAATCCCAGATCACTGGAGTAAATGAATGCGTTTGCAACATTCATTTGGCACCACATTCCCTTGATGATTATGGCATTTGATATGTTCTTTTTTGCCCTCTTTGTCAGCCTGGTTCTTCATGTCAATCTATAGTCTTTTATGTGGTTAACTTGACAGATGCAGGAAATTGCTGCCAAGCTTTGAAATGATTTTTTTCAGCGGTGGCATCTGGGTATCAGATGGTCCTCTTGGCTGGCCTCTTGTCTTGCTGCATGTTGGTTTTAGTGGGGTCTGGTGTAGCATCACCTGTTGCTATGCTCCCTTTTCCTCCCATATGTCCATTTCCCATGATTCAAGGATGAATGTGAGAATAAAAGCTACAGTTCTGTCTTTATTTTTGAAGAAAAAAAAAAGTACAGAAATATGTTACAAGGTGCAGAGTTCTCTCTCTGACAAAGGGATACTTCCTTTTGGCTGGCATGCCTAATCAGCTAATAATTTGTTTGCAATGAACAAGTTTTTAAAACATTTTAAAAGAAAGACAAGGAGGATGCTGATTAATGAGTGGAAATGTCAGAACTGCTTTATTTCCATTAAGTCAAATTATTCTTATTGTACAGCATAATTAAGGGAAATCATGTATTCATTTTAAAGACAAAATTATTCTCTCTGAAATAATTATCTTGCCCACTTCCAAACCCAAAATTCCACTATTTACATTTATACCATATTTTTTAAAACCAAGAAGAGCTACATGAAATGATTGTTATGAATGAGAAAGACATTCTTCATATTAGTAAATTTAGCAGATGTGGATGCTTAGAAAGTCCAGAATCTACTAAAACAATAAATATATTTTTAAAAATCCCTCAACTCTCAAGAGCTCTGTCATCTTCTCTCTTTAGGTATTCATCTTGTCTCCCCCCCCACCTCTCATACATCCCATTCACTTTTGTTAGGATGGCAGCTCTAAAATATTCCAGTGGCACAATTTCATTAAATCCCCTCAGATGTAGCAGTTTGAGTAGATTCTAATTCATATTATTATTTGCAGTCCCTAGGACAAACACACTTGTAACTGTTTCAGGCATTGCTTTTCAAGGGCTTGAGTTTTATGCTATGAAACTATAGTTTACAATTTTTTCAGGTCAATTTTTTATTTAAATTAGAAACAAGCTTGTTTTACATATCAATCCCAGTTCCCTCTCCCTTCCCTCCTCCCCTACCCACTACCAACTCCCTATCCCATCCCCTTTTGCTCCCCAGGGAGGGTGAGTCTGTCATATCATTTGGAGTGAGCCCATTCCACACAGAGGGATACTCTCTCAGCCTAGACACACGGGGTTAACAAAATGTTTTACCAAAGGCTTTTTCTTATGCATATTTGGTTATGTTGACACCAGGATGGGGGATGTTTTCCCATTTTGTGGATCTCCACTGATACTTTATCCTCTCTATCCAGCCAAAATTTATTCTACAATTTCAATTATCATACTGAATTTTAAGATGGTTGGATGTGTTTCTAGAATACTTGTTTCCTTATAAAAGTAAACTCAGGAGACAGAGTTAAGAGGACTGACCATGAGGTCAAGGCCAGGCTGCTCGATATAATATAATGAATTACAGGACACTTAAGCTATACAATATGACACTGTATCAAAAAATTCAATATGTAACTTCTATTGTTTCTTATGTGTTAATAATTATGGTAAGAAACTGGAAAATACTGAGAAATGATTTGATGTTATCTGTCCTTAATAATAAACTTAGTTTTATTATTGTAGATCCCAACATGCACTGCTGTTTATGATACAGCACACATTACTCTCAATGACTTCTAGAATTAAATAATTTATTTATCATAATTTAATGAGATGCTTTTTATTGTTATTATCAACTTCTCTCAGATAGGAAAAGTCCTGAGATTTATTTTTTATTATTTTTAATTTTTTTAATTGAAAATAGTTTCTTCTCTCATACACTATATCTAACCAGTTTCCCCCCCTCCGCACTTCCAAGCCCCCTCCCACATCTTCTCTCCCCTAGATCCACACCTCCTCTGTTTCCTCTTCAGAAAAGAGTAGGCCTCCAAGACCTACTCCGGACAAACCAGACAAAACAAGATACAATAAGAGAAGGCAAAAGCCCTTATATCAAAGCTGAACAAGGCAACCCAAAAGGAGGAAAAGAGTCCCAAGGGCAAGCAAAAGAGTCAGAGACACACCTGCTCCTTCGGTTAGGAGTCCCACAAAAACACTAAACTAACAGCCACGACATACACACTGAGAACCTGGAGGCTGACCCATGGAGGCCCTGTGCTTGCCATTGTCTGATCCCAGCAATGTGTTTCCAAAACTATATTACACTGGCTTTCTTGAAGCAGTACTGAAAATAATAAAAATAAGAACTAGAACACAATGTAAATCACTACTTTTGCTACCTCTGGAGTTTTTACACTTTCTATAGCTACAGGGCACAGCAGGAGAGGCCAACAGACACTCTTGGGTATCTTTTGAGTTCTCTCCTTGGAAATCTAATCCAATCAGCTTGTCAAGAGAGCAGTCTCTGATTACCCTGGCACCAACTTTTCCTCACTCCATTTCCTGCCTGCACTCAAGTGCAGCTTTGTGAGAGTGGAGTGGAATTACCGAGGAGGCAGAAAAAACTAAATGCTGTCATTCAAAGGATGGCTGGATTCTTTGGCACTTGAGAGGGGAACAAAATGAAAATAAGGTCACAATGTACTGAGATAAAGGAGAATAAATAAAGGATATTAGACTCTATGGTATTATTCGTTCCAGTTAAACATCACCCACTAAAATGAGAGAGGACTGCTGGAAACAGTACTAAGAGGCTTAGTTCCAGGGCATCTGCTATGGAGGGAGACTCATTATGGTCAGGAAGTGGTGTCTATTCACAAGGAAGCCATCAGCAGCTGTGTTGCTGACACAGTACCTTCTTTTCCTTTTTGTTTCTCTAACAGAAAGGTTGTGGCTATCACCTGGATCTGTTGATGGTGGCCATCATGCTGGGGGTATGCTCCATTATGGGCCTGCCATGGTTTGTGGCTGCCACAGTCCTCTCCATCACTCATGTCAACAGCCTGAAGCTGGAATCAGAATGCTCCGCTCCAGGAGAACAACCCAAATTTCTTGGCATCAGAGAACAGCGGGTGACAGGGCTCATGATTTTTATTCTTATGGGTTCATCAGTTTTTATGACCAGTATTCTGAAGGTAATGAAATTATCCCTAATGAAAGAATAAATATCTTTAAGGTAGCATTTTAATATGAACACAAATTTGCAAATATTACAAGGCATGAGATAAAAGTGACTTTGAAAAACATACATAATTTTCCTTCACCAAGAGTGAATGAAATTTTGTCCCATGTTTTAGAATCCTTAAGTACTTGAAAGTATAAATTTGTTATACTTCCTGACTGTAATGATTTTGATTTGTAATTTCCAAGCTATGGGAAATGTCATACTTGCCGAGTAGCTAGTAACTAAATTCACCATAATCCAGCCCAGGTTAAAGGTTCTATTATTTTGTCAGTCTATAGATTGAATGTTATTTGCTATAAGTCAGTGATACAGACCAGACAATGATCATGCCATGGGCACACAGCTTTTTATTTTGAAGGCCTCACACAAACACTGCATGTGAATCTTCATTGCATATAAGAAATGTTCACATTTTTAAATTATCAAATTCTGAGTAGCAATAAAGAGGGATTGTTTTATGATATAAATCTGACAGATATTCTTGCAGCATGTTAGCTGTATTATAAATTATTATCATTCACTTTGATTGCTTAAGTATAAAATATTAATTGAATTACTGAATTTTTTTCTTGGTTTTTCGAGACAGGGTTTCTCTGTGGCTTTGGAGGCTGTCCTGGAACTAGCTCTTGTAGACCAGGCTGGTCTCAAACTCACAGAGATCTGCCTGCCTCTGCTTCCTGAGTGCTGGGACTAAAGGCATGCACCACCACCGCCCAGCTGAATTATTGATTTTTTGCAGCTTCTTGTAGCTAATCATTGAAAATTTGTATTTCTGTTATATCAGTAATAGGACACTGGATAAAATGAGCTAACCTAATAAAAGAAATTTGAATAATCCACATGTTAACAAATATCTACCATAATTAAGGACCAAATTATAAAAGTAAACTTTATTCTTTACCTTTAATTCAAATATTTGACTAATTTAAAATAGAATGTAAATTATCTTTAAAGTGGCTAATAGTCGATATTTATTGTGGCACAATAACAATTTACAATATTATTTCTTAGGAATCATGTGGTTTTTAGGATAAGTTCAACACTTAGAACTGAACTATTATTATCGTCTCTTTTAGACATTGAGAAACTAAGGAGAAGGCAGCTTTTGTAGCTGCTTAATGTTATGCAGGTAGGAAATGCTGAGGCGGAGTCTGAAACTATGTCTTCCAATTCCATACTATACTCGCTTCTAGAGCGTTTTCAATTGTCCATATTCCCCCTCTGCGGTAAGTGCAAAATTGAATGAGCACATGTTAGAAAATAATGTTTCCTGTTTTCTAATTGTTCTTTTACAGTTTATCCCCATGCCAGTGTTATATGGAGTGTTTCTTTATATGGGTGCTTCATCTCTAAAAGGAATTCAGGTAAATTACTTTACTTTTAAGGCATATTTGTTGTAACTTAAAGTGTAGATGCTGAGTCATGTGACAGCAACCATCATTTCAGGAGAGGCTTTCTGACCACATGTAAATTTTATGAAAGTGGCCAGAATTGTAGATACTAAAGAAGATTCTCTGCTAAGTGGACACACGCTCTCATTTATGTGCTGAATATCCAGCCCCAAAGATGGATAAACTTAAATTACTGTATGTATGTGTGCATGTTTGTGCTGTGTGTGTGTGTGTGTGTGTGTGTGTGTGTGTGTGTGTGGGAGAATGCATATATACGTGGAGGAAAGAGGGAAAACCTGGTGTTCACTGTCTAGGTTAGAGTGGCTGGCCAGTGAACCCAGAGATGTTTCTAATCCTGTTACCCCAACTCTGAGATTGCAAACAAGCACCACCATGACTGTCTTTATTAAGTGAACTCTAAGGATGTAACTTCAGTCTTCATGCTTGTATGGCAAGCACATTGACTGTTGAGCTACTGTTTGTCATAAATATATTAACACTGAGAAAAAGTTTACTTTTCATCACCCTTTTAGAAAATGAATTAAGTTCATTTCACAATATACACAAATGTAGTCTTTGATAGTTATCAAGTCATGTTTATGAACTCTATCTATAACAAAAGAAAAATACCTTTTGCAAAAGATTTATTTTGGCACATGGTTTCAAGGGATCTCAGGCCATCATAGCAGGGAAGCCATGGTGGAGTAGTTCTGTGCACATCAGTGGGAACATGTGGCAGCAAACCAGAAAGCAGAGAGTGTGGGACTTGAACTGTTGGTTGGCTATAACTTTCAAAGGCCTGGCCCTCAGGACAGATTTTTGCTATCCCACACCACTTGCTAAAGGTTCCATAGCCTCCCAAAGCAGTGCCACTACTGGAGATCAATTGTTCAAAACATGAGCCTGTGGGGAACACTTAAGACTCAAACCATATCTTGAGCAGGAAGGAGGACACAAAGACATAGGTAGGAGGGCCATGGCAGGATGGAGGTAGGAGGGCCTTGGCAGGATAAAGGTAGAGATTGTAGTTTTCTGCCATAATGTAAGAATATAAGAAACTTGAGAGCTTCAAGAATTGGAAAGATGTTCCCTCTTTGGGATCACAGAGGGATCCATAGTCCTGCCAAAATCTTGATTTCAGAGTTTTGACCGCCACACCTGGACATTACATTTGTATTGCATTATACCAAAATGCTGTACTACTTGGTTATACCACCTTCAGAATACAGATTTCTGCTTAAATGTATGTTTCAATGTATGTCTTTGTTTATGGTGATGCACTTTGACCAGAACATTTCATTTTCCTCATGAGAGACTACAGTGAGGCGTATTTTATTGTATAGATTTAAAAAATAACTAAAAATAATATGAAGGGCAACTTTTGCTATGGTGTGACTACCCTAAGTGCTGATCAAAACATGCAGATGAGTTAGATCCTGGCTGGGACTCAAGAAACACAAGGTCTCTATCCCTGAGGAAACTGACTTGCTGCCTTCTGACTCTGAGAGAAGCAGCGTGCAGACCTTGGAACAGTGTAGGCTGTCAGACTTAGGCAAAACTTCAATACACAAAGTGTAGGGACTCTAGGCTTCAAGGAAGTGAGGGCATGATAGGGAACTGGTGTGTTTTCAAATTTTACTCAAAGATTTAATTTGCTCATTTAAAGTATCATGCATGAAATGCATTTTAATAGAATTAGTTTAGTGTTTGTTTTTGATTTTTGAGGTTTTTTTTTTTTGCCTTTGGCAAAAGTTTCAATGATTTTCTCTGTAAGTGGAAAGCATTTATTATTAAGCCTCAGGCTCACATAAATAGAGCAGCAGAAATTTTAAAAAACAAAGTGAAATAATTGTGGGTAGATCCCAACAGATTTTCTTCTAATTCCATTCAAATCATTTTTTTTTACTCACGTGGTTGAGAATTAAACAAAAATGTCAAGTTTTGGAATCACTTAGGATGTGATCCTTTCAAATGAAATAGAGGAGAACATCAAAGTCCTCCAACAAAATTTAATGAGTTTTAAATCACATTAATGAAATAGGAAACCTAGGCACACTTTGACAGGTCTCACACTGAGAAACAGAATTGGTGGAAATTTAAGTGAACAGCTAAAATTCCTATTGGGAAGTGAAGCTAACTGGATGGGGAAATATTATGTGTCACTACTGGGACATGATGAAAGCCAAATGCAAAATGTAGAATATATTTATCACGATCGTTATTCCTGGAGTGGTACTAGGCAAGCACATTAGCTGTCTATGTTGGATATCCTAAGGAGCATGCTACTTTGTTACCAAGCAAATTGGAGGACTCTTTATGTCACCTGGCTTTTTGGCACTATTAAGGAACTTACTATGTAGGCTTCTCACTGTGAAATATGGCAGAAAAAACAGATCACAATGTTCTCATGAATGCTGTTTCTGTATTCAAATATATAACCACATCTATATTCATTCCAACATTGCAGGGATCCAAAGTGAAGCAAATGTGCCACTTAAACAATAACAATTGAAGCACCCACTCCCACTCACTGAAGCACACTTATGCAACAACATAGCTCCCTAAATGGATAATGATGGGTGGGGAAAATTCTATAGGAACAGACATTCAGTTGTAAACTAAAGGATTTTATTCTCTAGTCTCACTTTATTCTTACTTCCACCATGCACAAAATTATGTCTGTTTAATGATTCCTAATTTTAAGAGATAGTTATGAAGTAGAAAAGACACACAAGAAGCAAGCCAAGAATGAGTTAGCAGTCAGTTATGTCATGGGTTTCAGCAAATAACTTTGGAAGATTATGAATGAGTATTAGTGCATGAAGTAATGTGCATTTGATTATAGTTTACATAACTGTAGAATGGTTGTTCCATGCACAAGACAGAGAATACCAAAGGGAAGATAGATTTGATACCCTATCACACCTATCCCATATCAAATTGGGTTTTGACAAAACAGGATGATCTAACCTTAACTCTACAGATGGTTGTTTATCTGAACAGTAAAGTTTGAAACACTTGATGATAAGTAGCTGATAGTTTTCTTATGGTAGCTGAGAAATATTTTATTTATCAATGTTCTTTTGAAAATGCATAGGTTATGTTATCATAAAGATTTATGAAATAGAATGACTGACTGTATCAAACCCTTGCTTTCTAAATAACCACCTCTCACTGAAAGAATTATAAATAACAAAATTTAGCCTAAAAATTAAACAAGTGGCTCACACAAAATAAAATATGTAGTAAATTTAGTTATTCAATAACATTTGTTGAAGTAAGAGCCTATGAAAATTTAATTTATAAAATAAACTTTAAGTCATTTTATCGATTATTATGACAAAATTGAAATAAAGATGATCCGCTGATTACGCTGGATCCATCTACTAAAGTGGCCCAAATCAGATAGTTTGCATTTCTGTATGTATCTGCATTGACATGCACTGTATGTATATATACATGCAGGTATGGATGAAGTTACATGTGCTTGTGTATGATCAGGTTCACATGTATATGTGGGTGTTCATGTGGAGGCCCTAGGTCAACACCGGGTATCTTCCTAAGTCACTTGCTGCTAATTTTCTGAGACCAGGTCTCTCAAGGACATGAAGCTCACAGATTTGCCATACTGGCTGGCCAATGAGCTCCAGGGATTGATGGGTCTGTTTCAGGCCCCACCACAGCCAGGGTTACAGATAAGTTAAACTGTGTTCATCTTTTATGTGCATGCTGGAGATCTGAATTCAGATCCTCAGGCAGACACTAAAGACTCTTTTCTGACTAAACTATCTCCTCAGCCCCCAAATATAAAATATAATAAAACACTTTGGTAACAAAAGTATATGTAGACCAGATCTTCATGCAAGATGTGTATATTTCTAAAGACAGCATCAAAACCTTTGTTGGGGATCAAAGTGGCAAAGCCAAAACAGCAGGGTTCAGTAAAGAGGAATCCAAGGCACTCTACAGAGCAGTGGGATTTGAGTGGTGCTTGGGGGAACTGCAGAAGGTCTGGGAATGCTAAACATGTGAAAGCCAAGGCCATGAAGGTAGATGGCACACTCCAGCAGAGAAAAAAGCACACTGAGCATGTGAGGCCTAGGAGACCAATATTTGGGGAGAAAGGGGAGAGATCACGATGTGATAAGCTGAAAGAGGATGATTTTATTTTGTCTACCTTAGTGCTGGTTCTCCAGGTAGCAAACTGTAGCATTGGCTTTACTATATGCAAACCCATTTCAATGACACCCTGTTAAAATAGGAAATATAGTATACTGTTCAATAAATAGAAGTCCAAACTGTATGTCACTTCCAATGTCCTGCAATTTTGGTATCTGTGTCATTTGAACCTAATATGAACATGCCAAATATCTAATTATTCTATGGTTATTGTTTGTTGTCTTGTTCTTAAATACAATATACTGTTTGATCTTTTAGTTATTTGATAGAATAAAGCTCTTCTGGATGCCAGCCAAACATCAACCAGACTTTATATATCTAAGGCATGTACCACTCCGGAAAGTCCATCTCTTCACAGTTATTCAGATGAGTTGTCTTGGCCTTTTGTGGATAATCAAGGTTTCAAGAGCAGCTATTGTCTTCCCTATGATGGTATGAAACCTCCCTCAATGCTCTCTCTTTCACTCACTTTTGTGAAAATCATGAACTAAAACTTCAACAATAGAATTGCCTCAAATTACTTTGAACATTGACTGCAGTATAAACTTGGACACTAAAATAGGGTTTGAAGAATATTTTGCATTTCATTGATTTAATGTTAGGTTTTTTCTTGGTCATTCATAGTGTGGTAGTTAATGGAAAGCAGTATGGAAAATGTAAATATTTGAAAATTAGCATTGAGATATACTAACAAATATGAAAAATTAGGGAAATTTTTAAAATAAAATTTAATTGAATGTTTCAGACAAATTTTAAATGCATTTAAAAGTATAGTGAATTTGAATAACTATACATAACTCAAAATTATTAGCATATATAAGAATCTTCTAAGATACTCCCTGAGCCAAGACACACCTGGGTGGGCCTAGGCCCTATCCCAAAGAATATGATAGACTCTGATGACACCCTATGAAAGGCGATACCCTTCCTGGGGAGCAGAAAGGATATGTGATAGGTAGGGTTTTAGTTGGGAGGGGGTGGTCGGAGAGGAGAGGAAGGAGAGGGAATTGGGATTGACATGTAAAACAATCTTGTTTCTAACGCAAATAAAATCTGCAAAAAAAAAAAAAAAAGAATCTTCTAATGTTCACTTATCCTAGTTTGAGCTTTTAATTATGCATTTAGGGAAGCATAATCAAATATATTTTGTAGTTTAAATTTTTTTTCTTTATTAAGAAGCCTTCAACATTGAATAAAATCTTAGATTCCATCCTGGCAATTTGATAAGAAAAGGAAATTAAGAGGAAGAAAGATGAGGCCACATGTTTTATACACACGTGTTTTCAATTTTTAGTTTAATATCAGTCCTAATTCAAATTCATCTGTATCTCCTCTTTGTTTGTTTGTTTGTTTGTTTACATTTTAAACAACTTTATTATTTACTTCAGGTGTTAGCCCTGGTATTTGTGAGAAAGTTGATGGACTTCTTGTTTACAAAACGGGAACTCAGCTGGCTTGATGATTTAATGCCTGAGAGTAAGAAAAAGAAACTTGAAGATGCTGAAAAAGAAGTAAGTCAAAATAAAACTTGCTATTTTATTTAAGGGAGAAGAACAATTGCAGCTCTTTGGTAAACTAAATTGTTGTTTTTCATTAAATGGTGATTATTAAATATAGCAGGTAGAAACATTTGGAAGTTTAATGTTTAAAAAATACAGCTGGGTTGGAGAGAGGGGGCAAAGATCTTACATGAGTAAGTCAACTCTACATGAAATACCTGCATTTAGTTACTCTCCAAATAATAAGGCTTATTTTTCTGATTTCTTGGTCCTAGATGGGAAAAAGATTGCTGAAGCATAACTGTTTCTGAGATACAGTCATGTAATGTTGATTGAATGTTTGAAAAGGAAATAATCTGATAAGTCACTACTGGTCATTTTTCTTGCTAACAGATTTTAATCAGTAAATTTGAATAAATCGTTATTCTTAAAACAGACAAAATATTTAAAAGAGAAACATGACCTGATTTGCCTAGAAAGTGATCTGAGGTTTGAAAACATATTTGAGAAAACTTTGGGTTTTAGTTATCTTCACAGATGACTGATTTATCATGTTCTGTTTCATAAGAAGAAACAAGTTAGATATAAGTCTCATGAGATATATAAAGTTCCTATGTCAGCCTGGATCTTTTATGAAGGCTATTGAATTATACATATTTTAAGCACATAAAAGCTATAAGGAATGTAAGTGAAAATAATGACCTATGCAGCATTTTTGGCAAAGATTACAGAAAGCAAAAACAAAATTTCCCTGTATAAATGAAATGAAAGGAAGCATCTTAGAAGAATTATTCATTCTTTCCAGTTTTGTTTTCACAGGTGTTTACTAAAAGCATTCAGTTTCTTTGCTATAGAATATTTTTTGGATCATAAATAGTTTTCTTTTTCCTTGTAGATAACTTTATTGTAAACATAAAAAAGGTTTTAGTTTTGCTCAGTCATTTAAATAGGCCAGATTGGACTACAAATCCAGATGAATTTTTGGCCAAGAACATTCTAACAGCATAGCTTTATAATATGTGATTGGTGGTTCCTCTGTCCATGGTTTCCACATTTAGGGACATCATAATGGTGTATCTTATTTCTGTATGAATGTTTCAGTTTTCTAAAATGTTGTAAAAGGCATATATAGAATCACATTTCTAGTAAAGTTAATGCAACATTAAAATACTGTGAAATTGTCACTGGTTCTTTACTATTTATCAAATTAGTAGTAGATATTTTTAAAACAATAATTTAACAGTCCATATAAGATGTGCTAAAACTTATCCCACCTGAAAAAAATTTCCAAGGTTTAAAGATTGAAGGGAAGTAGTTTTGAAGACATAATTTATAGCCTATGAATTTTCCCCATCTTCCCAATGATTATGCTACTAAGCTCATTCACCTAGTAACACACATATTATGTTTTCTTTTTATTTCATGTCAAATATCTTTACTGTTTCTGGTGGAATAAGGTAGAAGCACACTTTTCCATAGAGTACCATCCCTTTCACACAGTATTCTCCTGAGGCCATTTTCAGAATGAAATGGTCTTAGAGTTTCATTTCACTTTGTGTTTTAAAAGCTCCTGAGGCAAATGCATGTAATCTACTATGCTATCATTGAAATTCTTCTCTACTGTTATAGAAAGGCAATGTTAGCTTCTCCTGTTTCTCCATGACATTGAAGAGAACAAATTGACAGTAATCATAAATTTATTAAAACTAACCATTGTAATTTTGCACAGTGATATCCAGCCAAAAGATTTATCTGAGATATGATTATTGCTAATAGAATTAGTCATTCCTATGGTCCATAACCACTTATAATATATATAAGTGGCACTTACATATATGTGTAATATATTTGCATGTTGGGAATTTATTAACTCCACTGAGACCTTGTATAGAGTTTTTTAACTTTTTTCTATTATATCACATTATACGTTACTGTGCTCTGATGGTGTTTACTGTTTTGTGAATTTGAAAGTAAAGATTTTAGGAGTAACTAGATATCACTAAATTTCCAAGAACTTATGCTTTCAGCAATATAAAAATAGAATAAGACCTACTGGGGGAATTTCATAGTTGAATCCTTCAGTTCCAAAGAAGAGGGGGAAATAAAACCTTTCAATATATTTACCAGAAGGGTTTAGAAATCCTTAAAGTCTCACACAGATTATGACAATGATGTTTTCATATGATCCCAACTGCATGGAAATAAATAAGAAACCCAGTGTTTCATTCATGGAACAGCCTATACTCAAACATTAAAAAGCAGTTCTAAGTAGTGCAAAGAAGACATACACCAAAGGAATGGAGAGATGGGGAAAGGGCGAGTCAATAAGCTTATATTCTCTTTAGAATTAGCATTGGAAAAGGAGACTTGTTGAGGCGTGGAGGAGGACATGCGGAGGCTGACACTGAAGCTTAAATCCAAGGTTCATTTTCTACTTGAGGACCCAGATTTGGGTATTTTCTTTTTTCTGAACCTATGAATTCCCCTGAAAGATATGGTTGTGCTGTAGTGTCTTGTACCAATGCCTAGTTCTCCAAGAGATTGTACATTAGAGTGGGTAATGGATAAGTTCTTCAGAAATGTTCAAATTAATTGAGAAACTCTGATTGTGATCTGGCAAGATGATAAACGGCAGAAATGTCTTAGCTCCCTGAGACTTGAATTTAAAGTGAGCTCACCTCTGATCCTTTTGATGATAGTTACAAGCTTGTACCTTTATCCTTCAGGGTTTTCCTATCAGTAGCCCATTTCTGGTCTTATGGCGCTGAGAAAACATTCATTTGACCTTAAAATTCAATAATGAGTTAAGCAGAATAAATAGCTACACAGGCCAGTCCAAGGTCGCAGAGCTTCTGTTCCAAATTTTCATGCACTTCATGCATATGCATATGCATATGCTTCAGTTTTTAGAAAGAAAGGATTATAATCAGGGTAGAAATGAATATTGGAACCCTGACATTTTGCACATTGCTCTGTGTAAAGGGAAGGCTGCAGAATCAATTCTGGATGTCCAAATGTGCTCAGAGTACCAACATGCCTTCCTTCCTACTTAAATGTTCTCTAGGACATTGTACACATGACAAAAGGACCACTGCTAAATACAGGAGATTCCAACAGAATGTTTGCTCTAAAGTGGAAAGCATGGGTGCCAGTGTTAGGTAGAGGTGGAGATGCAATTCTGTGGAGTATTAACATCCACACCTTCTTCATTACTGAGGGACCGCTCTAACATGTATCCTATAGAAGAAAACAAAAAGAAGGCAAGTGGGGCCTTGTGATTGTGAAAAAATTCCAAGAAAGTACAATCTAAAAATAAGCACAATTAAACAAATGAAAGTAAATGCTTTACTTCTCAGAAAGGTAAGAATTGGCTGTGGATTTAGGAACCTCATCCTAATTACTAACATAGATAAATGTCTTTTATAATTCAACTATACAGTGGGACAAGTATGTTTATCTCCTTCAGCAGCACTTTCCCAAAAAGTGGTTTCAGAGTCTCTGCTATACTGGCCAGCACATTGCAATATTTTTAAAATGTATATTCATAGGCCTGTTTCATCAATGCTGTGCATTAGAGCAGACAATCTATTTTCCTACATCCTCCAGGTGATTTTGACATCTGAGATAAGTCTTTTATTAGACACACATAACCAGTATCTATAATACAGAAAAGTTTTTAATACAAGATTATTGGGTCAGAATTTTTCACTTAGAGTAATTTAGATGGTTATTTAAAGGTGCTAAATCAGGACCAGTGAGACTGGTTGCTCAGTAGTAAAGGCACTGGCCATCAAGCCTTCCAAAGAGATTAATTCCTGGAACCCACATATAGGAGAAAGCAAACTCCTGAAAATTGTCTTCTGACAGCCACATGTGCTCATCTCACACATGCATGCACACACATGTGCATACACACACACACACACACACACACACACACACACACACACACACACACACACGGCTGAGTCATAAATTCTGATGCCTCTATAAGCTCTGGCCCAATTTTACCTTTTAAGTGATTACTGTTTTATGTTATCAGCTCTTTAATCTGTTGGAAATCAGAAATTAAAAGTATAATATTTATTGTTTACAAATTTATACACATTCAATATCTGAAGGCGATTGTATAGTTGAGAGAAGGAAATGGTAGGAGCTTCTTAAGTTATGTATGCCTTATTTGCCTCTTCAATAAAGTGAAGGGTTAAACATGACTCCTGAATCTTCTCCCATCCCTTAGGAAGCATAAATAGCAAAATGAGCACTTATTTACTCCGTTAATAACCTAAGTATCTTTGTGAATGCTGACTCTGCTATTGTTTAAACTTTGATATTTTTGAGGGTTCCACATAGATATATGCCCCCAAATATTTATATATATATTTGCTCCCAAATATATAATTTGCCATCTAAAGGACAGAGTACATGCCAGGTACTGTAATAAAGCAATTATTTTTCTGCTACTACAAAATAAAGTGAAGACTAAGGATGCAATGTCATTCAGTTTATTACTGGAATCTTACAGATTATATTTCCCATTTCAATTCACCATGGGCCTTTGGCGTTCCTGAAGTAGTTGCTCACTGTCATGGGAACAACTTCTTTAGTTCTATCTTTTATGTATGTCTCATATTTCTTTCTACCTGAAGTTTCTTCTTCTCTTCACTCTCTATTCCTGTATTCTTTATGATAATCTTTTATTTCCTTTGAGACTCATGTTTATATCTTTCTTTTCATTTTTGTATCTCAGTGCTTTGCAGCTACCTGCCATATAGATCATGTTACTATACATTCATTAAGTGAACTGATTAGTAGTGTCTCTATTCTTCTTTGATATGTGCCTAAAACATCATGCATCTTCAGTCAATGTGTGCTATTGAGTAGATTCCTTTTCTATGTGTTATCTTTCTGTTCTTTATTAGATGTGGAATTACTTGTTCTCCCCTTATTTGTATCTGAAAACTGCTTTGATAAACATCTTAATTATAAGATAGTCTTTAAGTCATAGCATA